TCTACCTGGCATTTGTAGTATGCGAAAACACTTTCACAACAAGCTCAACAAATTTTCGACATGCATTTAGTAATTAAAATACATGAAATTCAAGAGTTGATATTAGTGCAGTCGAGGCCTATCTCAGAGCATCAAAAAACAAGTCATTTGATAATTGAATTAGTGTTAAAATATTAAATGGAAAAAATCGACAAATTTATAACAATGTCTCCACATAATAAAACTAATATCGGAGATAATAAAGTTTTTAGGCAGATAAAACTCACCCTACAGAGGATCAAATGCTACTTAAAGACATAGCCACTTTAAAAATGAAAATTTGAATCATGAAAATTTCCTGGAAATGATTCGTATTATATCAAAGAATGATTAAATATTCAGAAATCATTTAGAGAAAGTTATTTTAAAGAGCAAACATAGAAAAGAAAAGCTTAAACTCTCTGACAAATCATAATCTAAGAGAAGAGGTTCACTCATAACCTTGTTGTCAAAACAACTGTTAAAAAAGTTATTGATGTTGTTCTTGATCAAATCAGGAATTTAATAAAAAAGGAGATTGGTAACAAAAGGTTTCGTTTGCAAAAGGATATTACTCAAGACATTAGCGTTTATGTTATGATCAACAATTATTTTCCTTCAATACATGTATAATGGCAAAATAACAGAAAGGCTTTTCGAAGTTACAAAAGTGACAAACTCTTCTGGAAAAGGATTTTTTGATATCTTGTGTATGCTTTTAAAACATGGAATTCAAATGAGAAATATAATAGGAGAATCATTTGATGGTGCTGCAAATATAGGCTCCAGGTAGTTTTTTATATTTGGTTTTAATCACATATTAAATCGCTATATGTGATTCATGCGATAATATTGAAGGTAAAAATTTATTTGAATTATTGAACAGACTAGCAACTTCTTTGGTACATATAAAAAGATGGATGCTTGGGTAAAACAGAATAATTCATCTGGCTAAAGTTAGTTGAGAAGGCTGCAAAAAATAGGTGAGACAAGGTCGTGGGCACGTGAAATAGCCATTAGATGGATATATGGTAAAGAGAGCTTGTTCCAATAAGGATAAGTGTACTTCAATTTATAATAGATAATAAATCATTTGAGGCAAAAACCTCATAAGAAGCTCAGTCTTTGATCGATAATTTATGTTGATGTCATTATATCTTCACACTAAAAATTTAAATATTTTATCAGCATGGAAAATGATAGAAGATGCTAAGTCTTCTGTATCATTGATAACTATTACATCGATTCAAAATAAAACAATAAAAATGGCTTCTAATTTAAATGAAACATTTTCATATTTATAGCTCCCGGAGAGTATCTGAAAAATGTGTAAAAAGATCGAATAGGACGAGCGAAGAGAATATATAGTGACGAAGGCCAAACGTCCTCAAGAATCGATTGACCTTTATAGGGTCGGGGTATTTCGTCCTATAATTGATCAAATTATAAATAGCTTGTCGGAACTGTTTTTTGCGAATAATAGCTTATTTTGAATGTGCAATATTTTCAATCAAGGCATTTAGATAAAATAAATACTAAAGTTCTGAAAAGGCCTTGGAAAACTGGCACAATTGGCAAATATATTGAGTCTTAAATTACGTAACGAATTATGTTCATTTGCAGTGTATTCTAAGATTTAATAGTAGAATTAAATGAAACGGACGATGATATCGTATGTACCAGTGAGAAGTCAAATGAAGTAGATGGAATATTACAATATGATAATAACTCAGAGTGTGATAATAAATGTAACAGTGTTTAATATGAGTGTTTTAAATTCTTAAAAGATATAATATGCACACAAGCGCATACACTAATTTATTTTTGGCATGTGATACATTTTAACTTTGTCATAAAGCAGGTTAATTGCGAGAGAACATTTAGTAAATTAAAAATTATAAAAAATAGGTTGAGAGCTAATATAGGCCAAGAAAAATTAGAAGCATTTTTAATGATGTCAATTAAACGAGAACTATTAGCGCAAATTGAACTAGAAGATATTCTTGTTTATTTGCGCAAAGGTTCAAAGTTAATGAGAGATTTATTAACGTAAAAATTTTATATTATCTTAATTCTTGTATTTAAATCTTATTTATATTTATTTACAATATGATCGGTGCCTGATTTTATAAGTGCAGCAATTATATTCTCTGTGTAAAATTGTATAATTGCAATAATTTTATATGTGTAATTAATTATTTTATATATTGAGTATGTATTATTTTATATTTAACACGTGATATATGATTTGATTTTATGGTGTAATATCGTTGTAAATCTAATATAAAATATATATGTACAATGAATATTTTTTTAGATTTGCAATTTTTTTAAATAAAACATATGATTATTGTGTCATACTATTCTATTTTTATTAGAAATGTAAATCGTTTCAACTTATTTCCAAAAATAAGAGGCATTAAAAATCATGTAATTAGAAGAAGCCATTTAAGGGAAGGCCCGCAAAATAGGGGGTATGGGAGCGAAGGCCCATAAAAATGAGGCCGCTATAAAAAAAATGCCCACGAAGCCGTAGCGTCGCCAGTCCTCCCTGTCACCTGGATCTTTATAAAATCCTTGGATTCAAGTTAGTATAACCAAATGGAGAACAGATTCACAGGCAAGTTACAAATTGCGTTCCTTAATATAAATGGAATGAAAAACAAACTATCGGATCTCAAGGTTAGAAGTGGTGAAAGTAGACATTATAGGTAATCAAGAAACCCATTGTCCAGGGAATAAAACTGCACACTTTAATGATTATAAAATATATTGCTCGGGTAGCACTTCCAAAATCTGGGGAATAGCATTCCTAATAAATAAACGAATACATAAATTCATTATCAAATTCGTACCCATATCTGAAAGATGTGGTTTTCTCTATTTAAACACAAATTTTAGGCCCACAATAATAGAAAATTTCTATGCCCCACAAATTAGAAATGAAAAATTAGGCTTCATCGACATAATGATAAATACGATCCACTCCCTACCGTGCAGATATAATATAATAGTTCTAGGGGATCTAAACCTGAAAATTGGTAAAAAAGTTAGCAGTAATGTCGGGTATGCTACCATACAACAATCAAATAGCGAGGATAGCAAGAAACTTATTAATTTCTGCAGATACAAAAACTTTAAAATATCTTTTTTTGCCACCGAGAAATGCAGAACTCCCAAATTGATTCTTCATCTCTAATATTCACCAGTGGTTTGACGGCGTTAAAGTATAATATAAACCTGTCGGATCCTAGAATGCTTATAGCTAATATTACCGTAAAAAATATATGGGGTTATTATAACTTAGATAAAACTCGACTGGATCTAGTACAATTCATTTGAAAACAACTTTACACATAAATTCAGTAAATTACATATGCTGGAAGATGTAATAATTTTTGATCAAGCATTAAATAAGAAAAGAAGCTAACTTCTTAAACATAACTTTGCACGGAAAAGTAGAAGAATTCTGGAAACTATTTTAAAATTATCTTGCAGAATCATATGATGGTTTGCCAAATGTAAGTCTTTTTTCAAGAAAAGAATGGATATTTAGTGAAGCATTAGAAAAAATAAATCAACTAAGAATGAAGAATGGCTCGAATAACGACTTATGGAAAAACATATATAGATTATAGTGATAGACGTATTTATTTATCAAAAAAAAACCATTAATATAGATAAAGATATGAAAGAAAATAGGATTTATGATGCATATAAAAAATTAAAATATTTCTGTAAACCAGTTTTAAACCCCCCTTATAGTTTTAGAAAAAGGAAAAGCAATCATTGACCAGGACGAACAAATTATGACTGATTATTATATGATGGTCTTCGACTCAAGGAAAGCAACTCTACCAACAAACATAAATACAAACCTCGTCCCATTCCCATCTGGTTTCTCCATAAATAAAATATCAAATGTAGTGAAAAAACTATGAAAAAATAAAGCTCCAGGGCTGGATAATATCACGCTGAATTCCTAAAATCGCACATATCTTCCTTCCTGCTAGCCCTCTTCAATAAAGTATGGGAAAACGGAAATACTAGTAAAATGGAACAAATCCTTCCTATGTAATTCCCTTAAAATCAAAAACCCACAAAAGTTTACTTATTATCGAGCCGTAGCCCTGACATCCTGTCTCAAAGATTTTTATGGTTTTCTTAAATTAAATCATATCATCCAGAAATTCATCTTTTCCCCAAATACATACACGCGTACAAACTAAACAAAAACATACGAGAGCCAATATTAACCCTGAAAATAATTATGCAGAAATGTTGCAAATACAAAATACCCTCCTACTTCACATTCGTGGATTTTAGTAGAGCTTTTGATAATGTTAATAATGGCTCTATGTGAAACGCTGTCAGAGTGTGGCCTGTAGAGCGCATTTTTAGTATAGCTAATGCGGTATTAACTGCCAAGCGTTCCTGTCTACCTGATAAAAATTTTGAAAAAGAAGAATTTTTATAAATACTTTTTATTCTATATTATATTGCATTTATAATTATATTATCAAAATAAAACTATATTATTTTTTAACATGGCTAATATATTGTGTTAAAAAATATAAGACATGTATATTTTAAAAAAAATTTATAAAATTTTGAACGAACGAGAACGCTTTCATGAACGTGAACGCGTTCCTCTTTCTTGAAACGCGAACGTGAACACTTTCGATTTTTGTCAATGAACGTTGAACACGTTTGATTTTTTTAGAAATGTTTACAACACTAGTCAGTGGCGTAGACAAGGGGGGTTATGGGGTTGAAATCTACCCCCCATAATCTCCGAAAAAAAAAAATTTTTTTTTAATTTTTTTTATATTGTCAATAATTTCTTTAAAAACGGTTTCAATTTAGAAATAAAATAATATATACGATATCAAAATGAAATATATTTTAAAAAAACAAAGAATTTTAAATGATCAAATGATTTAAAAATATATATTAAAAATTATATGAACTAAAATATTTACCATCTCAATTCTTGTGTCGGATGCTTTAAAAGTCATATCTATGAATCAAAAGATATCAATATCTAATATATTGAATAAAAAAAAATTTGATATTGTTACAACCAACAGAGCAAGAATAATTATAATAAGTGATGCAATCATTTGGTTAGGGAGGCAGGGCCTAGCATTGACCCGTTACTGGTTAACGGTGCATATATGCACCACCTCCTATATACCTTATTTTAACATAGTAGTTTTTATTTTAAAAAATAATAAAAAAGATTTTTATATAGTTCAGACATTGTACTTCAAAACTGGAAAAGAAAAATATGAAAAAAATATTTTTTTATGTCCCTAAGAAACCCTCAAACTTTGCGAATTTATGAGGTCTAAAATGCAAAATTTTCTAAGTGATCTCACAAGCATATTATAAAATTATTTCGATGAAAACTAGTGTGTATATATTCTTTATAGATATATCAATATTTATCAATCATTTTTGAATTTTTAAATAATTAAAATTTTTATAGATAACCACATAAAGTTGACTGGTGCATATATGCACCGTTAACCATCTAGCAGTATAAATTATTTAAAAAAATTCAAACAAATGAAATTTAACATAATGAATTATAATTTTTTATATTATACTTAAAACCACTACCATCACTAAGGTGGTGGGAGGAGGGGTGGGTGGCTCGAGCCCCCTAAGAATTTTTTTTAAAAAATTTTATACCCAAAAAAAGACCTTTTGAAAATAATTAAAAAAAAATTTTTAGCCCCCTGAGATTAAATCGAATAATATATTGTTCCTATTATAATTTTTTATCCCGATCAAATTATATGAAATTATTAGGTTCATAAATATTCAAAAGTTTAAAATTATTTTTAGCCTCTTCCTTTCTGAAGATTTTATTTTATTTATATAAAATATTATGCACCTGTTTTGTCAATTCAATCAAAATTATCAAAATAATAGATGACTAATAAAAAAATCAAGATTCTATGAAAATAATTTGTCTAGATATTTAATTTTTAATAAATTTTTTTAATGAAACGTTTTCTAACAATTGAACAAGCGCTTGCTCAACTTTTTGAAGAGGAACCAATTGAAGAAAGAGATATGGTTATAATTCCGCCAAACCCCTCTGCAGTTAGTGATGAAGAAGATTTCGATGAAAATGACTTAACAAATGTCGGAGTTTTGCCTTCAGATACAGCTGGAGAATTGGAGATTCATAATTCAGTTGATGACGACCTTCCAGAACCATATTCTACAAGAAGCTATTCTCGAATTTCTCACAATTTAAAATGGAGAAAAACGGATGCAATATATTCTTCAAGCCCTTTCGATGGAGAAAAGGAAGATGTAATAAAACTTGAAAATGATTTACATGGTAAAAGTCCATCAGATATATTTTCTTTAATTTCGACAAAGATTTATATTCCCTAATTGTAGAACAAAGTAATATTTATGTAAACAAATGAATAGACCTAACATATGCATAACCATCCAAGATATTCAGAGATTTATTGGAATTCTATTATTTACTGGATATCATTCTCTCCCACAAGAAAGAATGTACTGGTCTAATGATAGCGATATTTCTATTCCAATAATCCGGGATAAAATGACCCAATTACAATTTCGAAATTTGAAATATAATATCCATTTGGCAGACAATACTAAAATAGATATACATGATAGATTTTATAAAGTTAGGCCTATATATTGAATAATAAATTTCAGCAATTTGGAATTTTCAAACATCATTTATCAATAGATGAACAGATGATACCATATCGAGGAAGACATTCTTGCAAAATGTTCATAAAAGGAAAACCAATTAGATTTTAATACAAGTCTTGGATATTGGCTTCTTCCGACGGTTACGTATTCTCATTTGATATATATCAAGGAAAAAGCGAAAATAAATATGAATATGGATTAGGTGGAAATGTAATCATAAAATTATTAAAGGCATTGCAAAAACCAAATTATCATAAAATATATTTTGATAATTTCTTTACATCATTTAAACTCTTGTCATACTTAAAACAAATGGGATATTTTGCAACTGGAACTGTGAGGGACAATAGAATAGAGCATTGCCCAGTTGAATCTATAAAGGTTGTAGCAAAAAAAGATAGAGGATATTATGATTATAGGTTTGAAAAATTAAACGAAATATTTGTAGTTCGTTGGAATGATAATTCGATGGTGACTGTTGCATCGACATGCCACACTATCTCTTTGCTTTCTAATGTTTCAAGGTATTCTAAGAAAATATCTTCTAAAATAAAAATTCCTCAGCCAAATATGGTAACTGCTTATAACAAACACATGGGTGGAGTTGATCTATGTGATAATCTAATATCTACATATAGAATAAAAATAAGAGGAAAAAAATGGTGGTGGCCAATATTCACCAATTTTATTGATGTAGCTTTGGTAAATTCATGGAAAATCTGGAAATTCGTGAATCGTGATGACAAGAAGAGTTTGCTTGCATTTAGACGAGAAGTTACTAACTACCTCCTTCGAATGCCAGTAAAAATTGAAAAAATTACAAGTACAGGTCACGCCAGCCAGTTTGCATTACAGTGTGAAAACCCTATTGATTCATCTGGACATTATTTATCCAAAATTATAGATGGAAAAAGACGAAGATGCAGATATTGCCATACACACTCAAGATATATGTGTCAAACATGTCAAATCGCACTCCATATTAAGTGTTTCAAGGATTTTCATAATATATAAACATTTTCTCGTTTTTATTATAAATTACAAATAAAGAATAAAGATATTTGTTGTTTTTTGATCTTATAGTATTTTATATAATTTTTATCTTTTTTAACCTCTTAATGGTTAACGGTGCATATATGCACCAGGCTAGATTTTCTATTTAGGATTATTTTTTTTGGCTGATTTTTTTAGAATATCATATTTGAGCATTAATCAATATAATTTGAAAAAATTGAGCATTTTTATCCACTAGAAAAATCTTGACCATTAATGGGTTAAGAGCTCATAGAATATCTTCTGGCCCCTTAACATTTACATACTCTTCTCATAATGAAGGGAATTTCAAGGAATTGTTGAAACTTTTATGCAATAATGATAACTATATAAAGCTTTTTGAAAGCTCTGCTAAAAATGCCACCTACCTTAGTCTAAGTATTCAAAATGAAATAATAGCCATATACAATAGGTTCATATTGAAAGAAATTTCTACAAAAGTGAAAGCATCACCATTTTTTAGTGTTTTGGTGGATGAGACTTTGGATGTTGGTAACATGAGCAATTATCCAAAGCAGTAAGGTTTATTGATATAGAATCAGGTGATTTCAAAATGAAGAAACTATTTGTTCAATTTATTGAATGACACTAAATCAAAGACGATAGCCAAAGAAATTTTAGCATCCCTTCAAGACCTAGATTTAAATTTAAATCTAATGAGAGGCCAAGGATATGATCGAGCTCCCTCAATGAGTGGTCACGTTAAAGGGGTAATTAGAGAGCTTTATAGCAAAGATCTGTATGTTCACTGTAGTTCACATTGCCTAAATTTAATGATATGAGGCATGCGAAATTTGAGACATCTAGAAGTTTACGTAAAAATATTTTAATTTAATTGGAATTTTTTAGATTTTATTATGTATTATAGATATCTTTTTATAATTCTAATATATTTTTTAAAATTTAGAAACAATATTGTCGGTTTGTGACTTTTTCACACCACCCAAAAAGAGGCAGCTTTTTCTCCAAATGTTTATGATATTGATTCATATAATCAAAAAAAACTAGAAAGATTTTGTCCAACTTTGAAAGACAACAATCAGTGAGACTTTTCATCAAATTATATGAAGTTATTTTTGCAGCGCTCAAATTCAACATATCAAGCAAAGAAAAAGATTCCGCATATACTGAAAATGGCTATTAAGAAGCCATAATTTTTAATATCAATTCAATATGTATATTATTTATTTAATTATACATATGATTTTAGCAATGGTACAAAAAATTGATAAATTTGGTCAAAATTCTGTTACTAATATCTTTTTCATTTATGCTGGCTTCTATAGTGATTAGACACTAATAAAGCATATAATATTGCCAAAATTTAAAAATAGGATTTGAGGACAAAGTCCCCAAAAATTTTTAAAACCCCAACCCGCATGGATAAATCTTAGCTACGGCACTGGCACTAGTCAATACTATATTAGTATAGGTATAAGTGGTAATTGTATCAAAAAAAAGTGAGGTTGCTTGTTTTAATATTCATTTACTGCTCATAGCATAATACAGCCAAAATTATTCAAAATCACTAAATTATAAAAATTCTGGGTTGGGCCTAAAATGATCAAATATAAAATTCCAGGCCAAACAATAAAAATTTTCAAAATATCTTGTATCAGTCTTGAATAAAAAAATTTTTTAAAGCTAGGCTTGATTGAGCTTGAGAATCAAAAAAAAATTAAAGCCAAGGTAGGTGAGACTTGAAAATAAATACATTTTCAAATCTGGCTTGGGGCTACAACCTCTGCAGATCTCTGATATATATTACTTATACTTTTATTAGAACCAATCCTAGAAACTTAAAAATAGATTTTGATTCCAGTGCTAATTACATTAAATTTTAAAAGAAGCTTCCAGGTTTATATTACAAACTTTGTAAAATGCATAATTTCTTTGTCATATTTTAAACCTATTTAGAATTAATAATTTATTATAATTTTATTGTTTATTAAAAAATAAAAAATGGCAGCTATTATTGTATGGTATCTGGTTATCTATTTTAAAAGATAAACATTTTTTATTAAACTATCACAAGCTTCTTTCTAAAAATAATTTAGCTTAAAAAAATATAAGCATATGCAAATAAAAATTTTAGATGTAAATAATAAAAATTTTAGATGTAAATAATAAAAATTTTAGATGTAAATAATAAAAATTCTATTATAATGATGTGCCAATTTTGAATATATATGCATTTGGTAAATTAAAAAAATAATAAATTTCTTCCGATATTGAAATTCTATTATAAATATATGCAGATTTTTATGAATATATATATGCATTTAGTAAATAAAAAAACTAAAAAATTTCTTCGGATATTTGAATTCAACAATATAAAATTGTCGAGATTATTAAATCAATAATTTTATTACTTGTAAAGTAGACTGGGATTGAAAATAATATATTTATGTTAGCGGTATAGCTAAACTAATAATTGATGGTAAAATAATAATTGACGTAAGTGAGCTTCGACAGTAAATGTATTTTAATTTATAACCAGTCAATTATATGTTTGTAATCATGGCGGAGCCAGGATTTATCCAGAGATGGGAGATGGTTCGCCACTATTCTCTATTTAACCGGCCGTGATTATATATTATATCCAGTGTCACATAGACGTGGGGGGGGGGGAGATGGTATTGATTTTTGGAAGGTAATTTTTTACTTAAATTATAACCTTTATAAATCCATTAATTTATACGATTATGATACTTATCGTTGATTTTCTAATAAATGTCAATTCTTTCATTTAATAACAAAGTTATACAATGTTTTAAAATAAAAAGGGATCTTTGAAGATTTTAAAATTTGAAGATCGTAAAATTTGAAGATCGTAAAATTCGAAGATCGTAAAATTTGAAGATCGTAAAATTTGAATATCGTAAAATTTGAAGATCATAAAATTTGAAGATCGTAAAATTTGAAGATCTTTTATTTTTTAGAAAACTTTAGCAACGAGCTTCAAAGATTTGTAAAATTAGAAGATCATTTATTTTTTGAAAAATGATATTTGAAGATCTTTTATTTTAAAATATATGTGATTAATGATCTTCAGAAATTCATATTTTAAAATGTTAGATAAAATTATTAATTTTATGATATTTTTTTTGAAGTAAATGGGTTAGTAAGCACGTCAATGAAAATGTATTATAAAAAAGTGACAATTATCATAATCGTTATTTAACTTTTATTTTTTGACACAGATGGGTTAAAATTTATATTATTAATAAAATGTTAAATTAAAATTTCACTGAAGATATAATGTAACACAGAAAAGCTACAATTTTCCTAATTGTTATTTTTTTAACTTTTTTGACACAAATGGGTAAAAATTTATATTATTAATAAAATGTTAAATTAAAATTTCAATTCAAATGTAATGTAACCAGATAAGTATCATAATCGTTATTTTGTGAGTAATTTAATTTATTTATCTTAATAAAAGTAAAATATAATTATAAAACTATTGATAAAATTAAATCATAAATTAAATAAAAAAATTAAAGCAGTGGTATATTATATGTCGTAGATTTACAGTATAACTAATTTTATCAATTATCATATGACAATCAAGTAATTTTTACCAATATAGCGAATTATATATTTTACAGAAAACTATAAAATATTGATAAGGACATCAAAAAATATCTTTTAAAAAATTGTGGGATGAATAATATGAAGATTAATTTTTATTATCATTTTTTATTTAAAATAAATAGATGCGTTAAATAATTAAATGCTAATTGTTGCTATATTTATTATCAAGAGGATTGATTAGTAAAATTTGTTAAAATATTAACTGTAATATATTCTCTAACTGTCAAATATATCTGTAAAAGTGGAATTTTACCTAATTTTTTGTAACTAATTCTATATAATTGAGGAATATCAACTATATGAACACTTTCTTTTTATAAATAAATTTCTTATACTTGTTTGGAATAAATTATTACCATGCTTTTATATTAATGTATATACCAAGTAATTCATTATATTTTAAACCTTTTAGAAATATTTTAGATATAACATAGAAAACTGACAATTGTTATATGTAACGTTTATAAAATTTATACAAGGATATACAAATCTTTGGCCGAAGAGATCCTTAATCTCCACTTTAACCATAATTCATGGTTACAAGTAGTGTTGTTAATTAATCGAGTTCCTTCGACTACGACTAGATATCGACTAAAAACTTTAGCGACTACTAAAATGACTAATTAGTTGACTAAAACGACTAACATAGTCGACTAAAACGACACTAATATAGTCGACTAAAACGACTAACATAGTCGACTAAAACGACAAACATAGTCGACTAAAACGACTAATTTAGTCGACAAAAACGACTAATATGGAACTTTTTTGAATTTTTTCAAAGCAAATAGGTAAAAATATTTATTGTAAAGATGTTAAGATAAAATTTCAGTGAAGATGTACCATAGATAGATGACAATTGTCCAATGATATATATAAATATAGATTGGCGATCATGCATAAAAAAACGTCCACCTATTGAAATCAGCTGTAGCGCCATTTTGTAGCTTGTACGTTGATCAAATGCCTCAATAATAATACTAATTTTTAAAAATTTAGCAATTTTATATCTAATAATTTGTTAATAATGTAATTATGTAAAATAATCAAATGAATCCTAACCTCAACTGATCTTCAATTAAATTACATTGGTATTCTATAAAATAAAAAAACTCAACATTTAATCCAATAGTAGTATATAATATCTTTAAATTACTTTCACCCAGAAATTATTCAGAAACATAGATTGCTACAATATCACTGAAACAAAAATCACCAAAATTATACCCATACAAAATATTCCATACTTATATCTAATACACCCTCAAATATTAACCAAATAAAGTCCACTGCCTATATTTAATTGCCAAAAAAACTTATCACATGACTCAATCAAGAAAATACTTCTTTCAATCAGTTTTAAGTTAATTTATCTACTTGATTAATATTATTATAAAAATAAATTTATTTTTAAACATTCCTCAACCATTAACCCCCAATTATTTATTAGAAAATCTAATTTATTTTATACATATTAACTGCATATATCAAAATCATTTATTTTTTTATATATATTTGTTAATTTTTCTTATAAAATTAGTTTTTATAATTTTATCAAATTCACTTGATGTTTCAAAAAAAATCTTACTATCCACTTATTGTTCATTTATGGAATCCTTATTATTAAATATAATAATATTTTATGATTCATATCTTATTAATAAATAAAAATGATGCATCGATATTTATTGTAGTTGCTGGTACTTTTAATTTTAGTTAAGTAATTTATACCTTAAAATAATAATTAAAATTTATATAAAAAAAGAGATCTGTATAGATATAATTAAATAAAATCTACTAATAAGAGAAATCAGTGTTAATTTTTTTCTTACTTTTTTAACTTATTTTTATTTTTTTTGTATTATTAATTTTATTATAAAGGATGAACCAAAGATATACTCTAAAAGTAGATGAAGATCAATTAATTACGTTAAGAAAATAAGATTTTATAAAAAAATATCCTGTCAATTAAAAATTATTTTGGATTATGTGTTCTAGATGAAATAAGTTAAACCATCTTAAAAGATGGGTTGAGAGCTCGTCTCACTTAATTTTTATTGTAATAATCATTTATAATTTTTTTTGTTTTAATTATTTCATCTTAATTATAAATGACAAATGAAAACATCTTTTATTTTTTTTTCAATAAAAACATAGTGTAATAATAACATTTTTTGCATGGGTATAAATTATTATATAAATCATTTAAATAAGGTTTATACAATAAATATATAAAAATATAAATGTGTACACTTAAAAAAACAAAATGTATTTTTAACAATATGATGATTCACATTCATATTATCTTTGATTATAAACATTCATCCTTTTTGATTCTATCATCACCTATAAAAAATAAAATATATTTACATTAGCATAGATTATATATAATATCATAATTTTTATAATATGTCTTATATAAGGCCTGTTCTTTATACAATATAATTTTTAAAAAATAAAAGAAGATATAAATATTAATTTACATGACTTATTGATTATTAAATTGTATTGCTTTTGTAAGATTTTGCCTCATACCAGTTCTCAATTCCTGGTTTCTCAAGTCAGCAAAATGGAAAAATCTAATATTTAAATATCTTTAAAAAAAATAGTATTAAAACTAATAAATGATTACCTTTGAACAATTAATTTTACAAGAATTTGAAAATGGCTGTAACCAATCTCATGTTCATTAATATGTTCAGTAAGATCAATAAAAATATTTGTACCAATTATTGTGGAAAAAACCAACACTTCCATTTTTTTAATAATATTTTTACGTTTAATATCATTTTGATAAGTTCTAAATGAACTTTCACAAATTCAGCATAATATAGGCATACTAGATGAAGGAATCACTAACCCCTCCATTATACTATATTTATTAGGCATAAAATTTTTTCTATTTATAGCCTGTAACTATTTTTCCAATAATTCTTTGGATTTTAATGGAAATCTATATTTAAAAATAGGTGAATAATAATGAGTAAAATATAAGATATATTTATGACATTGATACAAAGATAGATAGTATATAAAAATCAATATAAATATCAGATCAGTTATTAGTAATATAGTATTGAATCAGTGAAAATTTGTTGATTGGCAGAGCCTCTATTAATATATATATGGTTTACATATTTCTTACAAATATTTAAAATCAAACTGTATCATAGTAAATATGTATTTTAAAATGGCTAACTTAATATTTTATCCAGAAAAATATTTAGGCAAAGTTCAAAATAGAAATCTTATCAACTCAATAGGAAGAAGCATTATTTGTCCTAGCAATAAAAATGAGAAAACTTTATATTTTTACTAAATAAGGATTTTTTTTCAATGTTTGTAGCTTATCAATGCTTTATGTAATAAATATGTTGCATATAAAATAATATATATACTTATGATAAGAAATATGTGTATTAGATTCTATTTTATATGTTTTATTACAATTATGAAGACAGCACACTCCCATTATCTAATTAAATAATAAATGATAGTGATTTTATAAGATCTGTTTTGCATGTATCCTAAGATGCATTAACATAAGATTTATAAGTCCATGCAGGATTAGGTTAAACTATATTTTAAAAAATTAAAAGGTGGGTTAGTCTTAGATTCATTTTTTAAATATAATCACCTACTCCACCTTCATAAAAAAAAGTCTTATGAAAATTTAAGAATAAAAGATACTATAAAATATTATATCATAAATCACCTTTAAAACTAGACTTGTTTTCTACTAATTAATATTTCTTGCTGACAAATAATGGATAACCAAACTACAAAATGGAGCTACAGCTGATTACAATGTGTGGACACTTTTATAATGCATTGAA